AGATTTTTAAATTAAATTTTATAAAAATAAATATTAATCTATTTTTAAATATTTAATAATTTTAAAAATTAATATTAAATAATATTTAATAATTTTAAAAAATAATATAATATAATATTTAATAATTTTAAAAATATTTTTGAATATCCAATAATTAAAAGAATGAAGAGATAAGATAAAATATATAAATGAATTTTAATATAAGTATTTTTGTTGTGAAAATTAATCTGGAAAAGGAAATTGAAAGTGGGGTGGTACGTAAAGAGATGTAGATGTAGCAGGCCTCTAAGTTTGGGCTTTGGTGAAATGGCCCAAGAGGGAGGGAAGAATATAATCTTAATCTCCATCGTGCAACAGAGAAAGCAACAATGGATCGAGAATGGGGATCGAAGCCGGGGAGCGGCGGCGCGGCGTCGGCGCAGAACGAAGCGATCGACCGGCGAGAGCGTCTCCGGCGACTGGCTCTGGAGACGATAGACCTGGCGAAGGACCCTTACTTCATGCGCAACCACCTCGGGAGCTACGAATGCAAGCTCTGCCTCACTCTTCACAACAACGAGGGAAACTACTTGGCCCACACTCAGGGCAAACGCCACCAGACCAATTTGGCCAAACGCGCCGCTCGCGAGGCCAAGGACGCCCCCGCTCAGCCCCAGCCTCACAAGCGCAAAGTCTCGCTTCGCAAAACAGGCATTTTTCTCACTTTCCTCTTTTCTCCATTCATTTCGCTTATTAATTATATTAAGCAAACACTTCGTGTGCACTGTGCAGTTAAGATTGGACGCCCTGGCTACCGTGTCACCAAGCAGTATGATCCCGAGACCAAGCAAAGATCTCTCCTATTTCAGGTTCTCTTTTACGGAACATTGACCCTTCTTTTATGCCATAATATTATTTATTTATTTATAATTCTGTATTGATGTAGATTGAATATCCTGAGATTGAAGACCTAACCAAGCCCAGGCACCGCTTTATGTCTTCATACGAGCAGGTTTATTGATTTACCTTTCTATCGACTTTTTCTCACTGTCGCCGTGTTTTGATATTTATGTTTTGATGCTTACAGAGGGTACAACCGTTCGACAAAAGATATCAGTATCTTTTGTTTGCAGCTGAACCGTATGAAATTGTTGCTTTCAAGGTAAGTTATTGCTTTTGGTTTGGTCTTTCTATGCACTTTGATTTTCGAGATTTGCTCTTTGTGCTTATTAGTCTATGTTTTCAGGTGCCTAGCACGGAGATTGATAAGTCTACTCCTAAGTTTTTCTCGCACTGGGATCCAGACTCAAAGATGTTCACGGTTAGTACATTTACATTTACATTTACACCTCTTTTGCGTTTGTGATGGAAAACTTGGTCTATCGAAGTGTTTACATGTTTTGTTTGCGGGATTGGGAATTTGTTAATGTCTCCTTCATCTCGGCAAAAAGGAAAGAACAAACCTGTTTTGAAAGAAGAACAAATATGATTGGGGAACTATGAATTGACAGTGAATTTTAAGTTTACATGAAAGTGATAGTAAAACCCATACATTGTTGTAACTCCTAGACTTGTACAAATCAATGGAAGCACTGTGCACTTATCCTAAGAGCGTGCAATTTTGAATGTGTATTGATGCAAAAAAAAGTGATACTACATCCTAATGACCTTGCAGCATATTTGATAATTTTTTTCTGTGAAAAAGCAATAATTATTTTGTTTTTATAGGCTCTTTCTTAAAGCTTTTAGTTATAACCTGTTTTTTGACCGTAAATTAAACCTATGAACACATACATTTTGTCCTTATCATTCAAGCACAAGTTTGGTCAAGAAAATCCGAATTGTTGCATTTTAATTGTTTGCCCTAGTAGCTACCAATGCAAAGAAATTATTGTTGCATTTCCTGTTTTATTTCTTGCTTTTTTAATTCTCTGTTTGTGATGTGCATTACTGATTTATAATTTCCAGTTTCCCACCATCTGCCATTGATGACTTGAATTGATACTTGTCTGCAGCTGCAATTGTATTTTAAGTCCAAGCCGCCAGAGGCTAACAAACCACCACAGCCTGCTTCTGCAGCCAATGGCACAGCAGCACCTGGTGCTCCACCAAGGCCTTTGCCCCCACCACCCCAAGCTCCACTGCCACCACCTCCACCTCCTCCACAAGGGCTACCTCCTGGTGCACCTATGGCAAATCCTCCTAGAGCTCCTCCACCTCCAATGCCGGGATCAATGCCACCTCCTCCTCCTATGGCAGCTAATGGTCCTAGACCTGTGCCTTCTGGCGGAATGCCATCTGTCCCACCCCCACCCCCTGTTGCCAGTGGGACAGCTGGTTTCAACATGGGTGGTAGACCTCCATCAATGCCACCTCCACAAGGTTTTCCTTCGCAACCAATGCAGAACCAGGGTGTTCGTCTTCCTCCACCACCCCCTAATATGGGACAGTAGGTCCCAAGGCTTTAGGGGTAGAGCAGTGAGCATCATTGGAAGCCTTCAACAACTATAGTAGAATGTACCGTCCTTTAAGGACTCGTTGCTTTGTATGTAAGAGGCTAGGTTTCATAAGCAATACATTAAATCACCTGTACACTCTTCTGATATTTAGTATTGATGCCTTTTGAGTATTGACCGTGTCCACAAAGTTAGTTCTCAATCTCTTTATATGGTTGGAAACTGGAAAGCTTCTTAAAGATTAATGCTTGATTTGGCCATTTTTTTATGTAGTAGCAACTATTTGACTAATGTGGAACCATTGTGTCCAAGAATTTCATTTTTCCTTGTTTTGTTTACATATTAAAAAAGTTAAGATATCTGGTGTTGACCATGATTGTTGATGAGCTCATAGTATTAAAAGTAAAGCTATTATCTTAAAGGTAAAGAAAGTACAGGAATATCCTAATGTTTAAAGTCATTTTCTTTGTTCATGTGGAAAAATCATCTTTGTAAATATTTTTCTTTGTTCATGCAGAATAATTATCTTTGTAAATCTTTTTCTTTGTTCATTGTGGAATAATAATCTTCGTAAATCTTTGTTTGATCGTTTAGCTTCACATTTAATTCAGTGTCAATTGATGTAATACCCTTAACTTTTGGTGGTTCTTGGACCCCGATTCAGTGTTTAAAGATTATAGGCATTTCTTTGCCTTTATTGTATGAGAGGACGAGAGGTTGTCTATCGCATAATCCAATCCATATCTTTTCTTTTTCGCTAGTCTTGGTAGTGTTAATTCTCTTAATTGTTAACTATTAATGGGGTATCAAACTATAACACATTTTTCTTTTGGTAGGGAAATTCTTATCATGCTATGTAGACTCTTGGTTGTATCATTTTCTAAATATTTTGTGGATGATAGTCTTACCTGATATTACATGATGTATCCTTTATTTTCTTCGTTTTGGGGATTAGGATTGGATAACAGTGTTACACCCGGAGGAAGCTGATTGAAATTGACAATTAACTTTTTTCATGCTGGGAAACCATAGCGTAAAGTAAATGGATCACGTGAAGCCAATGGAGGTATATAATTGGCTATATACTTGTATATAGGACAGGACCTGAAGTTAGAGACCTTCTGTTGACATATAATGAGTGCTATATTGATTGCCACATGCATCTTGTTTATATCTCTACTCTCATTTTCTAGAAAAGTAAATAGAAAAATAAAAAAGATGTTTTGGAACAAAATTGCAATTTTACAAGAGATGCGAATAAAATCAAAGGTAAAGCTGACAAGATGTTTTATAATACTGATGTTGCCAGGAAATGCTTTAAGCCTTCGGAAGTGAAGAAGTAGGCCATTGATGATCTGAATAAAACAATTCAGTGGCTGGAATGTCAAGAAGAAAAGGTTATGAGTTTCCATTTCCCTTTTAAAGTCGGCTTTTGTTCGTTCTAGATGTTACAATTTTCTTATTTGCATCCAGAGCCTGCATAGAATCAGACTAAATTGCTAAAAAGAGGTTTGCATTGAAACCAAATTCATTTGTTAGAAAAACATAGTATTTCACTCCCCAATCAATCACTCCCAATGGTAAATGCTTGATGTCTGTAGCCCTCTGTTGTTCGCACTTAATTGTGCTCAAGGTTGATAGTTATATCCTATATGAATCTAAATTTTGTGTTAATCATTTCAGTCAGATCCAGTGAGATGACAAAAATAGCTGCAGAGGGGATTCTAACTTGTTTGCAAGATGCAATATGTTCTCTTGAGGAAAAACGGGTAATGTGCACAAAAAATTGTCTATCACTTTTCTTAGTTTGAAAGCAACTTCTCCGATATTTTCTTTCCCTGGGGGATGCTGGCATAGGTAAAATTTTCCCCTTCATATAGGTTTTAATTTCCTATGCAGTCCTTTGTTTAAATTCTCTATCAGAACAAGCACTAGCAGTGTATCATATTGATAGATAAAGAACAGACTTTTGTTATTATTTAAATTTCAACTGAATTTCCTTTATGAACACGTAAGGCAAGGGTCGCTGGCATAATTTTTTAAAACTTATTTTAAATGAAATTTGTTGTTATTTGAGTATTCATCATGATTTGTTTATCTCAAGGAGATGTGAATTCAGCAAGAGTACTTAGTATTTTCTATGTCCTAATCCTTTGCATCCCCACATTTTTGTGGGTGCTACTAAGTTTTATCTGCAGCATGCTTTTGGGATCAAAGCTCATGAACTCGGTGGCCCAATAATAATATGCTATGTTTCATGTTTCAACTCGAGTGATGACAAGATATTTTACCTTGGTTCAAAGTATAATTTTCTATTAACAAAAGTTTCTTAAAATGGCATTGACTAACACCTGTAATTTGGGCTATTGATGTTTTGGGTCCAAGCGACCCATTATGCGGATTGTCTGAAGCCCAGTTTATATAAATAAAAAAAAGTAACAGTGATAAAAAATTAAAAATAAACATATACGATATTAAATATAACATTTAAAGTTTTTAAATAATCAAGCTAATTAAATTATGGAACATACGTAACATTTTGGTTGCAGAGTGCTTAACGGTCGCCCCTTGTGGTATTTTAATTCGATTCCAAATATTTTTTGTTTTAAGTGCAAAATATGTTACCGGTCAACTAATTTATAACTTTTTATGTTATAATTTTTTATTTAATTTCATATATTTTATAATATAGTAATGTTATATTATCATGATTTGTTTTATAATATTTTAAAATATCATCTGGCTTTACTTTTTTCATTTTTTTCATGTCTTATTCAGTATGAGTTTAATAAATTGAAGCAGTTAAACATTTTTGAGTTAAATTGAGTCAGCTTGATTTATATTCAAGCATTCCAATATTGATCAAAGATAAATAATCGACCATTTATGACTTAGGAAGTATTTAGAAGAGTACGTACATAATTTATTTAAACTTGTGAAAAGGATTTGTAATTTATTTTTGTGACGTGAAAACAACTACAAGATTATTAGAAATAGAAGGTTAAGGGAGGGAAAATAGGAGCTCCACATAACATGTCTGGCTAAAAATGGGAGGAACTGAATCGTTATCGTTAGCTATGTATAAATAAGTGGTTGAGATGAAAATTAAAAGACAAATAATGTGGTAATTACAATTTAGTCCCGAGAAAAGGGTGTGTCGGCAAATACATTTTACCTTTAATTATCCTCTCACTCCAAGCGTGGCTCATCTTTTCTATCACTGCAAATTCAATCACGCAATTTTATTTATTAATATTAGAGGAAAAGATACTACTTCCATTAAAATTAGATAAATAGTATCAATTGAGTAATTAACTTTTTGTGTATATGTATTATTTTTTATTTATATTGATAGAAACAAAATGAATATAACAAAATATATAAATGTCTTTGACAAAAATACGAAACAAAAGTACTTTTAGAATTTGAAGGTTAGGGCGTTCAAAACCTGAACGTCAACGCTGTACACCAACCCATTTGAAAGAACACCTTGACTGTAAGGCACTCATTGCAGAAGGACTGCTTAGCAAATTATTAAATAATTAAACATAGAAAAAAGATGTATTAAACTAGTAATAATATACTATAACCAATCAATTTAGTATAGCTAGTAGACTTGTAATAATCTTTAAAGTATTTATCATGGGAGTTGTTTATAAGCAAATTTTATCCACTTTAAATGGATTTCATACTGTCATGTCACTCATAAGCAACTTATATTACATTTTTATAATTTTTACTCCAATGAAAGTTGCTTATAAGCACTTTCACCTTTTAATCACTCATATTTTATTTTTTAAAAATTTTAATTATTATAGTTGTTAGCGTCAGTGAAGGAAGGAAATATTAAATTATTTTTTTATTCATAAGTAACAGTCTCTTATATAAGTAATGCTGTTTAAATTTTAGCAATTTGACCTACCATGTCAGCATGCTCCAATGCAAGTTTCTTATAAGCAATGAGAGCTTAAACTTAAGAACCGGATAAGAACCTAGCATTGGAGATGCTCTTATTACCATTATTACATAATTAATACACATAATAAATTTTTGATGATCAAATTGGGACAGTTTTAGGGGGTGTATTGGTTTAGGATTTCGTAGGATTTTATCCTGTACCTGAATAAGTTTTGTGGGTTAATCCAACAATACATACCTCTAGTACATTGGCTTTGTCAACAGAGCAAAGTTTCCCACTACGCTTTTGAGCAATCTTAAATGCAACATGAGCTATGCGATCAATCTGGTATACAAATTATTATTGATCAGAGAATCATACATCCAGAGATAATACAGAAATTAGTTAAAGATACAGCCCCAGCATAAAACAAAAAAGTCTCTTCAGAGGGAAAGAAAAAGTGAAAAAGTACAGTTCCGAATCCTTCCTCCTAGACAATGTGTTATGAACCTAGACTAGAAATGGTTTAAAGAAAAAGATTCTATTGAGTTGAATGAATTGACACAACAAAGGAGGGATATCTCTCCTCCAATGATTTCCTCTTTGCAAAAGATGTCTCCTTCCACATATAACAGCTCAATTCTGAAATGATACAAGACTGAATGAATCCCTCTATATACTTACCTAATGTGTTAACCAACTAATTGATACCCTAACTGTCTTAACTAACTTCCCCTTCCATCTCTCCTAACTCCTCCTAACACAACGTTACCTGTTTCAACTAAAGATCTTAAGAAAATCCCAGCTCCTGCAACTAAAATTTTGAGTCAAATTAGAGATATTTTTCAATTTTCATAACTAGTCATTAGTCGATCAAATCATTTGGAATGATTGTACAACAAGAAACACCACACAAATTCTCTTTCCCAGAAATATTCAACCAACTTCTTCAACCTTCATTAATCTGTTGTAAACTTGTAATTCATATACTTTTATAGCTCACGAGTTGGACATACATTATTTATCTATAAAACCCTTTTATAATAGTAAGATACCTCATGTGCAGCATAAATCTCAGTATTGTAGCCAATCTCTTCACCATTTTCATTGGTGCCAAAGCCCCTGGGTTTTCCAAAATAGATACCTAAACAACAACAGAACGCCAACAAGACTTAGCCCAGTGAATTAGCAGCACATGGCCACAGTTAAAGAAAATGGATGAAGAATTAACATTTCAAAATTTCACTATCATAGGAACATTAGGAAAGCAGAACACCACAGACCTCCAGTGAGTTCCCTCACAACCATGAGATCGACCCCTTCAGCAATCTCTCTCTTCAAAGTTGAAGCATCCACTAACTGCAGAAGAATTAACACAACTAAAATCACACAAGAGAAAATGTATTTCAGTTTGCCCTCAACTGTATTTCAGTTTCACCATCACGAATGAGAAAATGCAGTACGAATAAATTGTTACCTGAGGAAATACAGTAGCCGGTCTCAGATTTGCAAACACTCGAAGCCCTTGCCGAATCTGAAGTAAACCAGTCTCTGGCTTGAGATGTTTCTCGTTTATATCCCATTTATAACTTCAAGTAATTTAAATAATAAAAACAATGAGCAGGTATAAACTATAAAGTAAGGATAAAACTTACATTGAATACATATCATTATCCTATCAAAATTAGAATTTCACCTTAATAATATATAATAAATAATTCAATTATCATTGAGATAAACTCCAATTTCGATTGGAAAATTGCATCATTAGTACTTATGATAATGTATACAAGGATAAAACTTACATACAATGAGAATTGGACTAATTGATACCCTAACTGTCTTAACTAACTTCCCCTTCCATCTCTCCTAACTCCTCCTAACACAACGTTACCTGTTTCAACTAAAGATCTTAAGAAAATCCCAGCTCCTGCAACTAAAATTTTGAGTCAAATTAGAGATATTTTTCAATTTTCATAACTAGTCATTAGTCGATCAAATCATTTGGAATGATTGTACAACAAGAAACACCAAATCTTGCAAAATTTTAAAAGTCATGAAAATCCTGCAAAGTCTATTAAAATCCGCAAGATTTTTTTTAACTAAAAAAGTCCTTTAAAATCCTAATCCAATACACCCCCTTATTTTCTTAACCACTATTACTAGGGTTGTTGACTTCTTTTTTATGAGTAATTGAAATTTTCACTTTTTTTTTCTACTTTGTAAACTTATTTTAAAAGTAAAATATTTTTAATTATAACTTTATACCAAATAAAAGTTTTTAACTTCTAAAAAATTTTGATTTTTTAAGTTGGTTATGAGATTATTTTTAATTTTATGTGATAGTCACATTTTGTAATAATCAAAGTTGATTTTTTTTTCCTCATAAAGAGTATGATAAAATTAACAAGTTAGCTGAAAACTTATAAATTATAGGTTAGGAATTAAATAGTTAAAAGTTTATAAATTAATTGATTGAATTGAAAATGTTTGATAAGATTAACTAATAAATATAAAATGGTATAAAATGATATTTATAATAAGAGTGAGAAAATTAGGCAAAGAATTTCATTAGTGAGTATAAAAAAAATAAAAATAAAAAGAAAACAATTAAGAATTTATAAGTTATAAATTATTTCAATTAATCAATAAAAATAAGTTTTAAGCATCCAAAATAAACTTATATAAACTTTTATATCAAATAAAATTATTTTAATCAAATTAATTAAAGAAACATGTAAACTCTTAAAATATCTTGTCAAACACATTCAAACTCAATATCTATACCAATTAGGTCACGGTTGTTAATTACCAATGAAATCCAATTTCTCATCCTTAACTTTTTTTTCTTCATAATCTTTTGTGAATACGAACTATTATTGATTTTGTTTTGTTGATGATTAATGGTTGTCATTATAAAAGAATTGGAAGAGTTTGTTGTTATTTTCAAATATACGATGAAGTGGGAAGGGTTTAGAGAAAAAGTCATCCAGAATTAAATTCTAGATGAGGTAATGAGGATATTTTTTTTCTTCCTTTTATGTTACGTAATTTGTCGTATCTGGTAAACACGTAAAGAGGCTTAAAATGATGTCGACAGAGCAGTGTGGAAAGGTTC